GTCATTGTGACCTTGACCTTTGACCCCTTGATCCCAAAATCAATAGGAGTAATCTGCTGGTCATGACAAATCACCATACCAAGTTTGAAGTTCCTAGGCCTAAGCGTTCTTGAGTTATTGATCAGAAACCGTTTTTACTTAAAAGGTCAATGTGACCTTGACCTTTGACCCCTTGACCCCAAAATCTATACGGGTCATCTACTGGTCATGACCAATCACCATACCAAGTTTGAAGTTCCTAGGCCTTAAGGTTCTTTAGTTATTGATCGGAAACCGTTTTTACCTACAAGGTCAATGTGACCTTGACCTTTGACCCCTCGGCCCTATATCAATAGAGGTCATCTGCTGGTCATGAACAATCATCATACCAAGATTGAATGTTCTAGACCTAAGGGTTCTTAAGTTATTGATCGGAAACCGCTTTTACCTAAAAGGTCAATGTCACCTTAACCTTTGACCCCTTGACTCCAAAATAAACAGGGGTCATCAACTGGTCACGAACAATGACCAAACAAGTTTGAACTTCATAGGCCTAAGCGTTCTTTAAGTAATTGATCGGAAACCGTTTTACCCTAAAAGGTAAATGTGACCTTGACCTTTGATCCTTTGAGCCTAAAATCAGTAGGGGCAATCTACTGGTCATGAACAATCATCGTATTAAGTTTGAAGTGCGAAGGCCTAAGGGTTCTTAACTTATCACTCGGAAACCGTTTTTACCTTCAAGGTAAATGTGACCTTGACCTTTGACCCCTTGACCCCAAAATCAATAGGGGTCATCTACTGATCATAACCAATCACCATACCAAGTTTGAAGTTCCTAGGCCTAAGGGTTCTTTTGTTATTGATCAGAAACCGTTTTTAATTAAAAGGTCAATGTGACCTTGACCTTTGACCCCTTGACCCCAAAATCAATAGGGGTCATCTACTGATCATGACAAATCACCATACCAAGTTTAATGTTCCTAAGCCTTAAGGTTCTTTAGGTATTGATCGGAAACCGTTTTTACCTACAAGGTCAATGTGACCTTGACCTTTGACCCCTTGACCCCAAAATCAATAGGGGTCATCTGCTGGTCATGACCAATCACCATACCAAGTTTGAAGTTCCTAGGCCTAAGGGTTCTTTAGTTATTGATCGGAAACCGTTTTTACCTAAGAGGTCAATGTGACCTTGACCTTTGACCCCTTGACTCCAAAATCAATAGGGGTCATCTACTGATCATGACCAATCACCATACCAAGTTTGAAGTTCCTAGGCCTTAAGGTTCTTTAGTTATTGATCGGAAACCGTTTTTGCTTTCAAGGTCAATGTGACCTTGACCTTTGACCCCTTGACCCCAAAATCAATAGGGGTCATCTACTGGTCATGACCAATCACCATACCAAGTTTGAAGTTCCTAGGCCTTAAGGTTCTTTAGTTATTGATCGGAAACCGTTTTTGCTTTCAAGGTCAATGTGACCTTGACCTTTGACCCCTTGACTCCAAAATCAATAGGGGTCATCTACTGGTCATGACCAATCACCATACCAAGTTTGAAGTTCCTAGGCCTAAGGGTTCTTTAGTTATCACTCGGAAACCATTTGGTCTACGGACCGACGGACCGACGGACCGACGGACCGACAAGTGCAAAGCAATATACCCCCTTTTTTTCAAAATGGGGGCATAAAAAAGACCTGTCCATGGAAACCGCGCTCTAATTTTCTCAGTTCTCGTTAGTTAAATAAAAGCAATATATAAAAGGGCCACAACTTTGCACAAAATAACATTGGGATTATCTGCCTTTTTGGAATTTTTTTTTGAAAATAAACATGTGTACCAAGTTTGAAGTGAATAGCTGAGAAAATGGACTTTTACAGAAAGGTTTACCAATGATGAAACTAATGCCAACACTAGAACTCCGCTAGTCGGATGTGTCGCCTTGTGAACAATGTAGTTTAGGGGAAATGGCCAGGACAAAAATGAAATATGAAAATTAACAAAGGGCAATAACTAAAAAAATAATAAGTGCAGAGCAGCAGTTTCTGTACACTGCACTTCTTATCAATAAGATCTATCATTCTATAATGTTTCAAGTCCATAGCTTTCATACTTGAGGAGAAATGACCAGGACAAAAATAAAGTAAGAAAATCAACAAAGGGCAATAACTCAAAAATAAGAAATGCAGAGTATCAGTACTTATGCACTGCACTTCTTTTTAATGAGATCTATCATCCTATCAAGTTTCAAGTCCATAACTTTTATACTTTCGGAGAAATGGCCTGGACAAAAATTAAGTATGAAAATTAACAAAGGGCCATAACTCAAAAATTAAGAAATGCAGAGTACCGATTCTTGTGCACTGCACTTCTTAATAATGAGATCTATCATCCTATGAAGTTTCAAGTCCATAGCTTTTATACTTAAGTAGAAATGGCCCGGACAAAATTAAAGTATGTAAATAAACAAAGGGCAATAACTTAAAAAATAAGAAATGCAGAGTACCAGTTCTTGTGCACTGCACTTCTTCTTAATGAGACCTATCATCCTATGAAGTTTCAAGTCCATGGCTTTTATACATTAGGAGAAATGGCCCGGACAAAAATAAAGTTTGAAAATTAACAAAGGGCAATAACTCAAAATTAGGAAGTGCAGAGTACCAGTTCTTGTGCACTGCACTTCTTAATAATGAGATCTATCATCCCATGAAGTTTCAAGTCCATAGCTTTTTTAGTTGAAGAGAAATGGCCCGGACAAAATTAAAGTATGAAAATTAACAAAGGGCAATAACTCAAAAAATAAGAACTGCAGGGTACCGGTCCTTGTGCACTGCACTTCGCGTTATTGAAAGAAGCATGCATACCAAGTTTGAAGTCAATCAGACTTATAGTGACTATGTTATGCTCCGGACAAGCTTTAGGGGACGCCGACAACGACACAGACGCCGCCGACAAAAGTAACCCCTATATGTCACCTTTTCAAGGCCACCTTTTCAAGGCGACACAAAAAGGGTCATAACAATAGCTTCACCTTTTTCTTTCTGTTCATATACTCTATTGTCTTTGTATATCTCTAAGTACTTATGAAACTCCCATATAAGGCAACTTAATGACAAAAACATTGAAAATTTTGTAATGATAATTTCATCTCCAGTCCCAAGAATAACTTAATATACATTAATAAAGTATTTATAACCATATGAACTAGGAAATATAATGAAAACTTTCTAGTTGAGTTAAATTGCTTTCAAGTTGACTGAAGTTTCAATTACTGACTATTGAAGTATATATAAATAGAAAGTTAATATTAACATCCCTATTCGGTCCAGTAAACCGGTAATAAAATGAAGCTGTAACAAATAACTGTTAAAAGGTATCAAAGCCTCAGGTGAAGTTTTTATACGTATTTGATGTTTAGTTTGCGAAATTTTTATATAAGGGAAATTGACATTTTATTTTATTTGGTTCAAAGGAAGGTGTGGCTTACTGTTTTGTAAACATGTGATACTATTTTCATATGATGACTGATTAAAATCTTCCTCTTATCATACACAGGCTATACTTGTCATATTTATGACATTTGACTTCCAGGCAAGACTGAGTGATAGTGAAAAATCTGATGACGAGTTGATCAGTATATATCATACAGTTTAACACTGAATTAAGTCCATGGCTCTTTTAGTTTTAGAATGAAACAGTATTGAAAACAATTGAAAATGCCACATTCCTTTATTTCAAGTTTTTTTCTATATAATTATCTACTACACAAACTTTTCTATCTCCAACATTTGGAGGGGTTAAACCCCTCTTTTTCAAGGAGTTTCTGTTTATTTTTATAAATCACATATTTATCTTCTTACCTGTCTTATCTTAAACTAAGTTATGTCATGTTTTTCTTGTCGTGAATGGTTGAATAGGTACTTCTTTCTTCACCATGAATGTGAAGGAAGTCTGCAGGACTGGTGTAGTTCTTAGTCTGGCACCAAGAATTTATAGGCAAGCATACACTTCATTTATGACCAACTTTCTTTTATATGTGTCTTTAATTTATTGTCCTTTATTTATTTATATCAGTGCATATTTTTACATGTGAATATGATGAGATTACTACCATACAAAACATACAAAGATGAAATCAATAGTGTTTAGATGAATTCAAAGCCAGGCTTTAGTTCTGGAACTATATATTTTGTCTTCGTCCCGTCAATTTTTTACAGGAGGGCTTTTGTCCACCTTGTCATTTTAATGGCAGGGCTATTGTTCCCCACTACCCTCCACTGTCATTTTCACAGGAGGGCTTTTGACTGCCCTGTCATTTTCGCTGGAGGTATTTTGTCTGCCCTGTCTTTTTCACAGGCAGACTTTTGTCCTCTTTGCCATTTTTGGACGGGAGGGCTTTTGTCCTACATTCTTTTCATCTACTATGTATTTACCAAATACAATATACATAGAATGCACAGTTAATTATATTGCACAGTGTTACTGTAGTAATGTGATAGCATAGTAACAATAGAGAAATATGTTTCATGTTAAGGAAATCTTATCATAATTACTTGACAGTAATGTGATATGGTTAAGCTGGTGTAATAAATATCACTTGTGCATTATTTTATTCTATTTACTTTTTACATAATCTAACAACAATATGACTTTAACGAAACTCAAACCATGCAAAATGACCTGGATTGAATTTGGAACTGTTTATTTATTATTTGTTAATGTGAGGGGTTCTGATATCAAAAATTTCAAAATGAAGCACATTTACAATGTTACTACATATGACATTAGTCATCTTAGTGCAGTGATATGCTAACTCCTGTTAAATTTACTAAGAGTTAACCCATTACTGCACTCAGATGACAATATGTGCATACTGGTCTATTTCCATCTTGTTGGCATCCATGGCAAGTCTTTCTTTCCATTAATATTCCTAGACTAAAGGGGAAAATGAAAAAAAAAATACATAATGACTATCATCAATGTCATTATCTTGCAACAAAAGTATACATGTATTTAAAGATCTTTATTCCAGCAGATGTGACCCCCAGTGTAAGATATCATAGAACATTTCTTACCAAATGTCTGAAGCTTATAGACCTTCTTGTACGCCTTCTATGAACTCTTGGTTTAGCAACTGGTGTGTTTTCTTCATCCACCTCACCTTGTGACTCTGATTTTTCAACAAAATGTGACCTTGACCTATGATCTATATCTTCTGACACAGAATCCTCTGGTTGATTTTTCCTTGAAAGGTTATATTCTGAATTTATTTCTTTATTTTTAACCATGTCAGTTAAATTGGTATCATACTGGATAGTGTTGTTTACATGTTGCCATGGAGATTGTGTAGAAGATGTTTGAGACGATGTTACAGTTTTGTCAATACTTTGAGACAAATCCTCTGATTGGTCAATATTTTTTGGACTCAGAACTGGTTGGTCTATACTCTTTTTCTTAGCACTATGTTTTGACCTTACTGGCCTTTCTGGTTTATATGAAGAATTATTCAAGCTAGACTGGAAATCAGATGGTGATTCACTCCCAACTGTATAAGATTTGATAGGTGACCTTGACCCTAAAACAGATGAATTAAATGGTTCCATATTTGGGTCAGTTCTTGGTGAATTGTATCCTGAATCTTTGCTAGGTGAACTTGGAGAGGTAACTTCCACACTGATCTTTTTAGCACCATCTACACTGTCCTTGACCTCTACAATAGCATCTTCCTCATCTTGCTCGAGGTCAAGGTCATAATTTTCTATTTTTGTTGATGTAGTCTCAGATACATCATGAATTATTTCATCCTGTTTTGTAGGCTTATATGCTGCTAAGCCAACAGTTCTGTTAGTTTGTGAAAACCTACCAGGGTTAAAGACCCCTCTGTTAGCAGACTGTGACCTCTGAACGTTTACTCCAGATAATACTTGGTCATTTTTTAACAGTTCCTCAGTATTTGTTGCTGATAAATTTTTCCTCAGCGATGGTTCCTGTACTTGATCAATATCCAACTTTCTTAAAGGTCTGTTAACAGACGAACTTCCAAGAATGTTAGAACTAATATTTGGCGCACTGATATTTTTCAGTCCTCCAAGTCTATTGTATCCACTTGCATAGCTATCAGAATTAGTCCGACTGGTTCCTAGGGATGACCCAGAAATTATCAATCGACTTGGCGTCAGAAGTGGTCTATCCCTAGGTGATCTTTGCGTGACATCTCTTGAACCAGGACTTAAATTTGTCCTTGTTAATCCAACACCTATTTTTCTTGTCAGTGGTGAACTAGAATTAACACTTTCCTTGTTTTCACTCATATTTAAATTTCCATCCTTGTCAAAATTGTAAAAACAGGTTTTTTTTTCCTGATTTATATTTAAGCTTTCAACATAATTTGCATAATGAATAATGTTCGTCACAGTTGTGAATACATCTTGTTTGTCGACTTCTCTATTTTCATTCTTTTTTTACTACTTTATCCTTCATCTATCAATCACAATGTTTTGAACAAACTAAACAGTTTTATGGTCGTATAAGTATGTAAATTGTTGAAATTTTCAAACTGCCTAAAAAAAAATCACACAATCCATCTTTTTCATTTAATTTACAATTATTGCCACTTTCTTCTCTCTTTTTTTTAATGTTTAAAAATTGACCTCAAAATGATGAATGATAACTGATAAAATGTTTGATATTTCTTTAAAAATATCTTATAAATAGAGAGGTTAAATATGATAAATAAGGGACAAAATACGGAAGAATTTCTTATCAATACTTTTCTGGGAGATTCCACTTGAAAAAAAGAACTTGTCAATTAAAATGCAACATTTTTGATACCCTACTTTAACAATCTTTGTTTTACATAACTTGTTTAACTTTAACAGAGACCGCCTGTCTAGTAATAATACCAAAAGAAAGACCATTGAAATTTAAACACATATCTTTTATCTTACTATATACCTAATCAGAGGAGGAGACAATGTTTTGTAATAAAGATAAAGTCTACATAAACAAACTGTTACAGGAAAAGATCAATAAAGATTCTAAACATTTCTGTCATCAAATCAATGCTCAAAGATTTTTTCCAACAACTGGCATAAAAGAGGTTATATTTGTGTCTCACATAATCTCTATATCTCTCATTCTCCGAGTTACAAATCTATTTTTACAGTCCTTCACATTTGTTAATGAACTTTTTAGATCTTTTTCTCTTAACATCTATGCTACTTTTTTTTCCTAAAAGAAACAAACCAAATTGGAAACTAACCAATTTTATTTCATGGCCTTAAAACTATATATGCCCTTTATACACACTCAGCATGACATAAAAAATATATCTTGGTTAAAAGTTCAACAGAGGAAAAAACTGTGGTAAGAATGTTTTAAAAATGAAATTAAAGTAGGTTAGTAAAAGATTTAAATTTCTTTTCCCCCCGCAAATACGGATCATATGAATAAATAGGTTAGGACCAAAATGTAAAACAACTTCTGACAATTACTTAAATTTTCAAGGGATTAACCCAGTCTCTAGTATGAATTTTAACCAAAAAAAAACAATATCAATAATAACAATAATAATACATGTAATAATAAAGTAATAATAATAAATAACTAATTCTGAAGGTGATTTGTATTTTAAACCAGCACAGGTTGTAAAATACCAGTAATCTTTAACTGGTAGAATAAGGTCAGAAAAGAGAATAATTAAAATTTTATAGAATTACAGCCAGACATGAGCCTGCATGGTATATTATGACAAGGTTTATACTAACTATGGTCATAGTTGTAGGACTAGACAATGTGAAATCGGTTAGACTATAGTTATGTCACAATTTTTCTCTAGTCAAACCCTGGTGTGTGCTGGAACTGGACATGTTTAGTGTTCTGACTCTAAGAGTCAAACAGTAAATGAATCCCAAATTTCCACTTATGGAAGCCCTGCTAAGTTAGTGCCTAAACCTGGCCAATATTGTATTTAAAATTAATGATATACAACTACAATAATTCCTGTAAGATTAGCAGCATATTAATTTTGTCTTTAAACATTCAAACACAGACAGGAAATCATTATAACCATATCTTGCTGCATATTTTATCCTAATAATGTGCAAAACTTTCGTTTTCACATTTCCTTCCTTACACACAATTTATCTCATATTGCATGTTACTTATCAAATTCTTTACTCATTTCATGACTAATATTACTTATATATCATTCCACCTTTTTTCATCAAAATTGTAACATTTACTCAATTAAATCAATACTCCAAGTGATTCATCTCAGGGGTTACTTCAATTAATCGATCCAATATTAAAACTGATTCATCTAATATGACAATTGATTTATTTGATACTACAAATGATTTACCCAATATAACAATTGATTTATCCAATATAATGGTTGATTAAACCAATATAACAAATGATTTATCCAATATTTTACTTGATATCCCAATACAAATGATTCCTCCAATATTTCAGATTAATTCATCAACTATTTGAACTGAATGATTCCATTCTCCATGTAATTACTGTGGATTATCATTTGATTTAACACAATATTCCTTTTACAGCTCTATGAAAATTTTTTCTTATACATCATGCATATTTCACAAGATATTTACTACATTTACAAAACTAACTTTACATAATGTCTTTCATAGTATGGTATACCACATTTTATATTTTTCAATATATATTGTTTTCACATCACAAAAGATATCTTATACATTCATTAAAACACCCGTGTAACGAGGTTTAAACGAGGGTAGGCAATTTAAAACATATAAGTATATAAGTAAAACAGAGAGCACAAACTGGTACAGTGGGCTATGGTGAATTAAACTACACAGCGTGACAGTTACTAGACCATCTCTAGATCACAACAAAGATACAAACATAATAATGATGCAGTCTCATATAAACTGCCCTAAGGACACCTGTTGTACAGTCACTAAAATTTGTGGGTGATAAAGTTTTACAGTTACTGTGTTTTAAAAAACACATATCCAAAATATGTTTTAAAATTAACATGAACTTCAAAAGAAAAGTGACGAAAATACATGTACTGCCACATTTGTGGAAATGGCTGCCGCCAAAACAAAGATCATACATTTTTATAATAAAACCCATAACGAGGGTTGACTGCAAAATTGTTGTAACTTATATGAAATAAAGAAGGACTTAACAGCAGTTTAACGGTCACCTCTCGATTAGTAAAAGCTATTATTCTGATTTCTCTTTTTTTTTTGCACATTACCAATATTTAAAAGACCAACAATCAATCAAGAAAAACTTGACTTGATTACCAAAAGATGGTCTTCACTACAAATTAGTGTTTAAAATTATTTTTTGTCCAATAGGATTGCAGTATATCAAATGAATCGTAACACATTTCTTTTGGTAAATAGGCAAACTGTTAATCAGTCTAGTAAATTGACAGTTTATATAAATAATTTAAAACACTAAGCTGGTTTAAGTTTATTAGTACATAATTTACAAAATTAAATTGATCCCGCCATTTACAAAATTAAATTGGTCATGCCAATTAACAAAATTAAATTGGTCTTGCCAATTAACAAAATTAAATTGTAAATACATACAAATAAACTTTAACCTATACTAAGTAAATGGACTAGTATTTTAAACAAATGAATTGACTAGATTTACAAAATTTACCCACTCACAAACTGGAAAGATTTTACTATATACCCAAAGTACTTAGGGTTAAAACACCTATTAAAGCAATATGTTCTTGTCCATCACACACCCTGTGATAATCAACTATAACACCATTCTTAATTACCACATGTATCCAGTTGCAAATTGGTAATGTAAAATGCATCTTATTTTTGGGGGATAAGAGATTTATTACATGATGCACCCCCTCCCCGCGCTTTAATACATGTAGTTTCTTCATTACTAATGCAATTTAGTGCAACGCATACATGTGTCACATACTGAAAATTTACACAAATATCATGTGCATTAAATTTCATGGTGACTAATAATGAAATTTCATGACTGTGTTTTATTTTCACATTTCATCCTATAAAATGTACCATATTTGAAGCTGCATTAAAATTCATGGTTTTTGTAATAAAAATAACTTTAATGGCAATTAAGATGAACTTCTAAATTGTAACTTTTAATAAATTCTGGCCTTTAGGACTTGTTAAAAGGTCATGTAACTGCTATATATACTAAGTGTCCAGCTTTATTTTGTCATCCAATGAAATCGCTGTATTTCTTAAAAATCCTGTTTGTTAATTCCATAGAAGAACAAAAGTCGATGCTATATCAAATTCGATTCATAGTCGCCCTCTTTTTTTCAGAGTATGTCATAGAACCGTGTTCATAAAATAGTCGTGACATAAGAAGGTAAATATTATGAAGCCAAAACAAGAGGGCCATGATGGCCCTGAAGTCGCTCACCTGTATATAGGCCCCCGGAGCGGGGCCAGTTTAAACCCCAGGGCTTTTATTTGAACAAACTTGGTAGACACCCATTAGAAGATGTTACATAGGTCTAGCTGGTCAAGTTTTCTCTTTATTCATATAGTTAAAAACAATGACACACCTGGGGCAGGGCCAGTTTTGACCCAAGGGCTTTTATTTGAACAATCTTTGTAGACGCTTACTAGAAAATGTTTCATGCTTAATATCTAAACTCTAGCTATTCGGGTTTTCTCAAAGAGATTTTTAAGTTTTTGCTATACACATATAAGGAAAATCAATGTCACCGGGGCGGGGCCAATTTTGACCCCAGGGCTTTTATTTGAACAAACTTTGTAGACACTCACTAGAAGATGCTTCGTGCTTAATATCTAAACTCTAGCTATTTGAGTTTTTTCAAAGAAGATTTTTTAAGTTTTTGTTATACACATATAAGGAAAATGAATGACCCCCGGAGCGGGGCCAATTTTGACCCCAGGGCTTTTATTACAACAAACTTGGTAGACACTCACTAGAAGATGTTTCAAGCTTAGTATCTAAACTCTAGCTATTTGTTTTTTTCAAAGAAGATTTTTTAAGTTTTTGCTATACACATATAAGAAAAATCAATGACCCCCGGGGCAGGGCCAATTTTGACCCCAGGGCTCTTATTTGAACAAACTTGGTAGACATCCATTAGAACATGTTTCATGCTAAATATCTTAGCTCTAGCTCTTTGGGTTCTTTAAAAGAAGATTTTTTAAGTTTTTACTATATGCATATAGGGAAAATCAATGACCCCCTGGGGCGGGGCCAATTTTGACCCCAGGGCTTTTATTTGAACAAACTTGGTAGACACCCATTAGAGGATGTTTCATGCTAAATATCTTAGCTCTAGGTCTTTGGGTTCTTTTAAAGAAGATTTTTTAAGTTTTTACTATATGCATATAGGGAAAATCAATGACCCCCTGGGGCGGGGCCAATTTTGACCCCAGGGCTTTTTTTTGAACAAACTTGGTAGACACCCATTAGAGGATGTTTCATGCCAAATATCTTAGCTCTAGGTCTTTGGGTTCTTTTAAAGAAAATTTTTAAGTTTTTACTATATGCATATAGGGAAAATCGATGAACCCCGGGGCGGGGCCAATTTTGACCCCAGGGCTTTTATTTGAACAAACTTGGTAGACACCCATTACAGGATGTTTCATGCTAAATATCTTAGCTCTAGGTCTTTGGGTTCTTTACAGGAAGATTTTTTAAGTTTTTACTATATGCATATAGGGAAAATCAATGACCCCCTGGGGCGGGGCCAATTTTGACCCCAGGGCTTTTATTTGAACAAACTTGGTAGACACTCATTAGAGGATGTTTCATGCTAAATATCTTATCTCTATGTCTTTGGGTTCTTTACAAGAAGATTTTTAAGTTTTTGCTATACACATATAAGAAAAATCAATGACCCCCGGGCCGGGCCAATTTTGACCCCAGGGCTCTTATTTGAACAAACTTGGTAGACATCCATTAGAACATGTTTCATGCTAAATATCTTAGCTCTAGCTCTTTGGGTTTTTTAAAAGAAGATTTTTAAAGTTTTTACTATATGCATATAGGGAAAATCAATGACCCCCTGGGGCGGGGCCAATTTTGACCCCAGGGCTTTTATTTGAACAAACTTGGTAGACACCCATTAGAGGATGTTTCATGCTAAATATCTTAGCTATAGGTATTTGGGTTCTTTTAAAGAAGATTTTTTAAGGTTTTACTATAGGCATATAGGGAAAATCAATGACCCCCTGGGGCGGGGCCAATTTTGACCCCAGGGCTTTTATTTGAACAAACTTGGTAGACACTCACTAGAAGATGTTTCATGCCAAATATCTAAGCTCTAGCTCTTTGGGTTTTTTAGAAGAAGATATTTAAAGTTTTTTCTTTTGGTTGCCATGGCAACCAGAGTTCTGCATGGAATTAAATTCTTTGAACAATTTTCAAAGGTGACCACCAAAGGAACATTCCTGTGAAGTTTGGATGAAATTGGCTTAGTGGTTTATGAGGAGATGTCATTTAAAGTAAAAGTTTACGGACAACGGACGGACGGACGACGGACGGACGCCGGACGAAAAGCGATCACAAAAGCTCACCCTGTCACTTTGTGACAGGTGAGCTAAAAAGCTTGACACTAAGTATGTTATTATTCATAGGATGTAGCTGTTCTACAGAAATTAATTTTTTTTACATTTTCCAGTTTCTAATTTCTGTAGAACAGCACGGATGAACACTAACATATGCATCTCTATCTTGAATTTTTTAATTGGGAACAAAATACATTTTCCCCTTAATTAAGCTGCAATCAATTTTTTGACAAATCTTATTAAATTGCACAATATTGGTATGACCTCATAATAAATAATGTGTAGTCATCTCAAAAACATATCAGAGGTATTTTTTTAGTTTGAATATTCAAAAGAAAGTGGGAAATTATATTGCCATCTGCATATGTTTGGTTTCTGGGTGTTTGGTTTTATTTAAAAAAAAGATTTAAAAAAATATTCACAAGTGATTGTATGTGAGGTCATAGATACAAATCACTATCCAAGACAGATAACTCTAGGTGGGATTGTTTTACTGAGTAATACATATAACATGAACATTAATAATATACCTCAACAGCACAATTACCTGATAATATTTCTTTGCTTGTCTCATGTATAATGTTATGTAATAAATTCTGAAAAAAAATTCACCTGTCCATATAGACTTTGGGATGCTATTTAACCCATTACTTCATATACACGCCTTTTAACGCCTATTTTACCCCCCCCCCTTTTTGTTGTCTCAAATGATGAAAAAATGCCTTATTTAGGCCCCCAACACTTGTTTTTGTTTGAGAAATGTTGTTAAAAAAAGTGACCTCTTTTTCGGCGCGGCCCCCCAACCAAAAGATACATCAGGGGGTTGCCAGAAGGGGGATGTGCCCCCTTCTGTTTGGGGGGTTTGAAGGGGGGCGGAGTCCCCCTCATCGCCAAGAAAATTTTGGACTTGTGAGAGGCTGTAAATGACCCCAGATTGATCATAAGGCAACGTGTAACCAACGCTGAAAAGCATTTGACTCTATCTCAATCCATTGAGAAATTGCAGCACTTTGAAATCAATTTTGATGGAAAAAATCAACGCAAAATAGTGATTTTTGGCAATTTTGAGATGTCCCCTCGTTGCCATGGTAACAGAAAATTTAAGCCTGAGCATGTTGTTGCAAGGGCAATGGTCCAGTCAACATTTGTGCCAAGTTTGATTAGTGTTGAAGCAGTTTTAATAGTATTATAGCAATTTGAACTTGTAACGGGAGACTTTTCAATGAAAACAGCCATTTTTCACAAAATGCTCATGAAGTAATGGGTTAAGTAAATTCTGCGAAAATTTCACCTGTCCATAATCCATATAGACTGTGCAAATTAACCTGGGCAATATAGACAATTGATTTAGCTGCCCCCTGTCTGAGTGTCTGTTAGAACAGATCAAGAATGCATACTTATAATACAATATTAACAAGCAATTATCATAGTATTGCAAGCAATACATAAGTCCCCTACCGGTAAGAGCCCAAGCAACATTCTGAAGGGCCATTCACTAAGGTTCCTATTTTAAGTAAATTTGTTGAAAAAGTTCTTTAAAAGTGATCACAGGAAACAGTTTTTATGTACAGACAGACAGCCTGAAGGACACTCTAAAGTTATTTTTTAAACATCCCTGTTATCAAAATATAACATTTTTAAAATCCTATCATGATTGAAGAAGTTGGAGTAAAAATTACTAATTTCTCAAAAAAAAGTCTAAGTTCAAAAGTGGCATAATTCTGGAAATAGTCTTGCTAGAGTATTAAACACTCACAAATGTTGAGTGACAATAAGAAACATTTATATGAAGTTTGAAGTAGATACATTCAGAAAAAGAAGTTATTAAAAAAAACAATGTTTTTTTTTCATGAAAATTTTAAGTTCAAGGGAGGTAATTCTGATAAATTTTGTGCTAGAGTTGTAAACCTTGTCACATATGATGTGGTTGATGACAAGCAACTTATATTTAAAGTTTGAAGAAAATACCTTAAGAAATAAATAACTTATAGTGAAAAAACTTAAAAACTAGAATCAGAAATCTTGAAATTCAGTCTATTTGTTGCCATAGCAACCAGATTTTTCAACATAGGAAGATAAGGAAAGGATGTGCATAATTTCCATACTGCCATCTACCCATATGTCAAGTTTCATAAACATATTTTCAGTACTTTTTGTGTTATCACTGGATCCAGGTTATGTGTAAAATTTGCCATATTTTCAGTCTATTTGTTGCCATAGCA